GACTGATGGAAAATATGAAAATGTAAGAAATGTGAGAATATATGTGCAGTAACCCCTTACTAGACATGTGCAATAATAATATGTTTGCAAGAGCATCTCATCAACAGTGTTCTCTTGTGGGACCTGAATAATAGCAGTACATTCTCTGCCAAGCAATGGAAACAGGCCTGAATATAAACTGTTTTAGTATGTTATAACCCCTCACTACCTCAACAAGCGTAATGACATATCCAACTCCACCATGTGAATTACTAAGTGCGATATTTGAAGTTCACTGGGAAAATACTATTACCTTATTTTTGTGTATTGCGGCTTTAAGGCTTTGTTGCCTTTATGTAACTTTTTATTTTAAGACTAAGTGTTCTTTCTGGTTTTTGACTCCCTACCTGACTCCAAAGGAGAGCTGCACAAGAATTCCTATATGCCTAGACTGTCTGTTTATGCATAAATGGCAAATAAAAATCTTGACTTGACTTGAACAAGGCAATGCCAAACCTCATACTGCCACATTACCAAGGCCTGGTTGTTGAGGAAAAGGTGTGAGTGCTGGACTGACCTGCCTGCAGCCTCGACCTGTCCCCAGTAGAGAATGTGTGGCGTATTTTGAAACACATATTGTGTCAACGAAGACCCAGGACTGTTGTGAACCTTAAGACTTTAAGAATGGGACAAAATGACACCTGACACAAACACTTGATGTGCTCAGTCCATAAATGTCTTTTAAATGTTGTGAGAAGGAATGGCAACATCACACCGTAAATGTTTCACTGTCCCAGCTTTTTTTGGAATGTGTTGCAGGCATCAGAATTGAAGTGGGTGTTTATTTTGAACAAAGAAAAAATTTGATGAGGTATCACATCAATAATGTGCTGCTGTGTTGTTTTCAGTGTAATATGGGACACAGATGATTTACACATCATTGTTCTCAGTTTTTATTTAGATTTTCATAGCGTCCCAACTTTTTCTGATTTGGGATTGGACTTATATTAATGAAGTGACCAGAGTCAGGACTCCAACTTAATACTTATGTTACTTTGTATCTGGTGGACGTGTAAATAGGGAACTGTGTGCTAACATGTTTGCAAAAACAACTGTGTTAATAAGTTAGTGTGTTCTGTTGTTCAGCTGGCTCCAAATGGTCAAAAACAATAATAAATTCAACTTTAAAGTTGCCTTAATGAAAGTTTTTATATTAACATTAAAGATGCAATGATTTCAGTTCTTTGAGCAAATTTCCATTTTTTTTCCCAAGTCTGACCTGCCGATTCCAATTTTCTTTCTTTCTAAAGTGCTTGAGTAAACATGTGGTACAGACTAGAGCATGAGCCTCGCTTGAGGTACACGTAAGATGCTACGCACTGCCCAAGCTACACTTTTGGTCTGTGCCACTGCATGTGTGATGTGAACTGTCATGTTTCTAAATCTGATCAGCACAGAATCAGAAATCTCACAGTGATCAGCCGGTCACCAGTCAAGGCCGATCACACTGAAAACGGCCATTTCTGCATCTCTAATTAACATGGTTTACATGACTATATTTTAATGTGAAAGTGGTTACTTAAGCCCCATTTCCACTGCCTGGTACTGGTTCAGCTCGACTCAATTCTACTTGCCTTATTTGTTTTTCCATCAGTCAAATGTTGATAGTACCTGGTACTATTTTTGGCATCACCTCCGCTGAGGTTCCAAGCAAGCTGAGGCAATACCAAACGGTGACTGTAGACTACCAAAGGGTCAGAGAAATTTATCATTACTGCGTGGCCATCTTGCCACCTATGAACCCAGATGTTTTCATGTGATGACACCAATCATAGTCACTGCCACTTCTCTCTCACGAGTGTTACAGAGGGTAAAATTTATGGTGACAGAGGCCTTGAGCCTCTGTTACGTATATAACCATTGTATTATGTGAACCACCACATTGTACATGTCATCACGTAACCCATAGATTACTGAATGTCATGATATGAATACAGTGGCTACAGCTATCCTTACTAAGTGGAGCTAACTAGCTGGCACGTTATCGGGTCATCACATCTCAGAAATTTGCTCTGACGTTTTCAAATTGGCACTACTTGGATAAATTGACCACAAATTGGAAACCTAGATGGTTATTTTCTCATCTGAAAAATGATCAAAACTCAATAAAATAACAGTATAACAGTCCTAGAATGGTTATTCTAACAGCTTTCAGCAATGGTATTGTTAGACATAAAGCTCTACTGGGGCACAGGAGCTGCATTACTCAAATCACACAATTATTTTTCTTGAATGTCTGCTGCATGAATGAAATGTGCTATACATTGTATTATTTGAACTTTCCTTGCTTAGCCCACTATTCCACTGCCATGCTACTACTACTACATCAGCTACTGGTAAAGGTAAAACTGTAGAGATATTAATCTTTTTGAAAATATTTATTTCAACATACATTAAGAACATTCTCATGTTTTTATGGCGTAAAGGTCTGGCACTGTATTGCACATTTTTTGCATTCTTCTGCATTTCACAATAATTAACAAATTTGATTGTCAAGCAGCCCCAGTTTCATTTGTCAAGTTTAAACTCTCACAAGTTAATTTATCAATAATTTATCAATTATTAGTAATAAAATAATAATCTAATCATTTTTGTAACTCATACGGCTCCATAACATACCAATGCTCCAGCTACTTCAAAATTGTATTGTGCAGTGGTTGGTGGTTACACACCTGTCTCCATAGACACAGACAGCTTCCTCCACACTTTCACTCTGCTTAAGTTTTGTTTGTAAAATGTGCTTAAAACAAACATCATTAGGACTGTGTCAAATATTATGTCATATTCATTAAATTTAGAATGAATAGTCCAAAATTAACATAGGCCACTACATGAAAGAGGTGCAAAAAATTATAGGCTGTTCAGCTAAAATGATCTCCAATGCCTTAAAATGGAGAGCAAAACCAGAGAGACGTGGAAGAAAACGGAAGACAACCATCAAAATGGATCGAAGAATAACCAGAATGGCAAAGGCCCAGCCAATGATCAGCTCCAGGATGATCAAAGACAGTCTGGAGTTACCTGTAAGTACTGTGACAGTTAGAAGACGTCTGTGTGAAGCTAATCTATTTTCAAGAATCCCCCGCAAAGTCCCTCTGTTAAAAAAAAGGCACGTGCAGAAGAGGTTACAATTTGCCAAAGAACAAATCAACTGGCCTAAAGAGAAATGGAGGAACATTTTGTGGACTGATGAGAGTAAAATTGTTCTTTTTGGGTCCAAGGGCTACAGACAGTTTGTGAGACGACCCCCAAACTCTGAATTCAAGCCACAGTACACAGTGAAGACAGTGAAGCATGGTGGTGCAAGCATCATGATATGGGCATGTTTCTCCTACTATGGTGTTGGGCCTATTTATCGCATACCAGGGATCATGGATCAGTTTGCATATGTCAAAATACTTGATGAGGTCATGTTGCCTTATGCTGAAGAGGACATGCCCTTGAAATGGTTGTTTCAACAAGACAATGACCCCAAACACACTAGTAAACGAGCAAAGTGTTGGTTCCAAACCAACAAAATTAATGTTATGGAGTGGCCAGCCCAATCCCCGGACCTTAATCCAATCGAGAACTTGTGGGGTGATATCAAAAATGCTGTTTCTGAAGCAAAACCAAGAAATGTAAATGAATTGTGGAATGTTGTTAAAGAATCATGGAGTGGAATAACAGCTGAAAGGTGCCACAAGTTGGTTGACTCCATGCCACACAGATGTGAAGCAGTTATAAAAAACTGTGGTCATACAACTAAATATTAGTTTAGTGATTCACAGGATTGCTAAATCCTAGAAACAAAAACGTTTGTACAACATAGTTTTGTGTTTGTACAGTCAACGGCAGACACTGCTATTTTTTTGAACACACCCCTTTCAACTAATTGCCCAATTGCACAGCCTTAAGAGCGTGCATATCATGAATGCTGGGTCTTGTTTGCTTTCTGAGAATCTACTGTCATCAAACAACTTTGTAAAGTGTTTCCATCAGGCTCTGCTTTCATCAAATTGCCCCAAAAAAGAAAAAAAAAATCAGTGCTGCAGCTTTGAACATTTTGATAAACTCAAAACATAACAGAACTGTGTTTAGTCAGAGCCTGTTTAAACTTTACTGTCTCCCTTTGGCTTAGGTCAGTAGGTTCACTCAACTTTTACTCCCACAAGCTTATTTTTGTTTGTTACGAGTTCTTCACCCAACACCAGATGAATATGGCCAGGTGTTTGACCTCATTCCCGTGTTGGCTACCACAGGATTCTATGAGAATTTTTTTAGTGCACTCTTGTAAAATGA